CAGGACAGACAAATTGGAAACACTGCAGGGCAGACGCTGCTCCGATATAGAACTTCCCGAGGTGCCGTTTGGAAATCTTCCCTTTGTGCTGCTGAAAACACTGACCATCGAGTAACAACAACCTGCGGCGTTTTTCAGGTTTACGCACTTTTTTCATCGTTATTTTTTTTGCAGCTTTAACTCTTTGCAGAAAGCTATTTTTTAATTAACTTAGTGCTGTGAAAGGGTTAAATGTTGAATATTATTTTCTGATGAGTATCGTTGGATTAATCACGATTAATCATGATTAACTGTGATTGTATTGACTGTGTATTACAGCAGGGGCCAAGGCCCCCAAATAGCTTTCCTTTAATTTTCTATGGCCCCCCCTTAGTGCCCCCTGGTGGCTCCCACTGTGTATACCACTGTATTAGAGCAACGATATGTGAGTGGACGGTGAAATACATTTATATACACAGTGTTCCCTCTCTAAACCGCAGTTCTCTTTTCGCTCCCTCAGTGCATCGCAATTTTTTTTTTAATCCGATCTCGCGAAATTTTCGCTATATCACAAAAAATAGCAAAAAATAAACAGAGAGACAAAAGATAAAATAATTATACATATGAAATTTGTGGATTCTCGTTTTGAAATTGAGACGATCGCTGGTAGCGTTGTTTACCTAGACGAGATCGTACACAGTTTACTATTGGCTAACTGAGTATGCTCTTCTGTTCCTCACGCTGATTGGCTCATGCATGGTAGCATCTCTCAGCATCTCCCCTCGTCTGTCGGCCAAACTCTCATCACTACAGTCTAGGGAGGGTTGATAACAGTGTAGGGGAGGTTCGTAAAGGGTAAATATATACGTAAATAATATACTATCTCGCTTCTACTTTGCGGATTTAACCTTTTCGTGCAGGGTCTTGGAACGCAACTACCGCGATAAAAGAGGGACCACTGTGCTACAGTCTCATGTTAGAATGGTAATCTTGTAACACATTGTTACGTTTTGGATAAACATTTGCTAACAGTCTCACAACTTACCAGAGAGTCCCACTTCCTAGCTAACTTTGGCCCTTGCGTCCTCTTTTTTATTTTTATTTTTGAAGAATTATTGATCGTACAAGCAGTATTTTTATTTAGTTTCCCCAAAAAATGTAATTACGATGGAAGGAATTTTTCTTTTCTTTGGCCCCTCCCACAATTGGAAACTGAAGGAAGTAGACAAAAATGGAGGGAAAAACTCGTGAAATAAAACCGAGGATTAAATGAGCAGAGAACAAAGGGGACGGGGGGGATTCACAGATGGTGTTTGCAAAGCAATTGAAAAGAAACAAACAAAAGAGCAAGAGGAAGAGAAAAGGGAGACGATGGATAGTTGTCGGTGAAGTCGGCAGTGTAAATTAACTTCCAAGTCTCTTGCAGACACAAAAACACACTACATTTGCAAACCTACTGCCTCGCATGTATTCCACTAATGCGGCATTTCGTACGTTATTGGTCTAGCCCCGTCCCTCTTGGCCTCCTGTGTGCCCACGTTGCCACAGGCGGCGTTATGTATTAAGCCTCGATAACAAAAACCTACCAGAAACTGAGCTCTAACATTGTATAACAAAGAAAATAGCAGCAGGCAGAAACAAAAAAAGTCAAATGAGGATAGTTCGAAAATGTTTGGAAGACCAATTTATGGAGAACATTTTTTTAAAAGTCCATGTGTGTTCTGTTTATTTGACATTTATCTACGGTTTAAGGCTTCGTAATCCCTGACAAAAACACTGAATCATTTTACACTTGACTTCGATGAGACTATGGGTGTTTGTGTGTATGTTGTGTCTGTGTGTTCCGAGCATCAGGCAATGGTGGAATTAGCGCACACAGTGAGAACAGAAGGGGCCCTGCAGCACAAACAGCGGAGAGAATCTTATCGTAGAGTCAGGGAGAAAGCCAGAGTGAGCGGTAGGAAAGATGGAAACAATAAATACAAAGTTAAGCTTAAAGATGGAGAAACTTTTTTTAAATCACAAACAAAGGATGTGGATGGGATGGGATATCAGATGATGAGATTGGTTTAGAGAAGCTGTGTCCACCGTTCGTTGGATTGACGTGGGCTTTGCACACCCAATAAAACGAATAACGCATTTAATCCAAAAAAATAGTTACATCGAGGGCAACCGGACGGGGGAGGTTTCTTGAAGACGTTTCACCTCTCATCCAAGAGGCTTCTTCAGTTCTGACCTCTTGGATAAGAGGTGAAACGTCTTCGAGAAACCCACTCCGTCCAGTTGCCTGCATTGGTGTTTACAAAGAAAAAAGCAGAGTTGTTTCGTTTTGACACTTTAATGGCTGATAATGGCTTAATTTGTAAGAAAACAAAAATGCTTTTCAAGCGTTACATTTTACACCGGTGTGCACCATTAATTGTTGGTCAAAGGAAATAATATAATAAACAAGTTCAAATGAAACAGATCAAAACTCTGAAATCAAGATCAAAACGACTGCACCTAAATGAAGGGACAGCACAAGCTACGCAGAGGGTGCTACACAGTCTTGGTCCATAAATCAAAGAAAACCGTTATGGCATCACAAATGTAGGACATCAAAGCATCTACAGTGCATTTCAGGAGTTCCAGAACCTTGTGGCAGACATGTAGACACACTATTTAGTCACTTACGGGGTTGGCAGATAATGTTAAATACTTATAAATATCGGAAGTATTGTCAATTTATGACCAAAGTCTGAGATTTGTGCATCTTGTTTTACCTTAGAACAGTACTTCTCAAGTAGTGGCGCGGGGCACCCTGCAGGGGGCGCATTGGAATACAAGGGTGGGGGAGGGCATGAGGGGCTTCCATTGGAATATGGCACGCTGGGCACAAATGCACCACTGCTGTAATGCTTGAATTATAACAAGCCTCCAGTCACTAGGTGGCAGCAACTCATACAGTGGTTTGTACAGATAAAAATATACACGTTATCAGGTTCTCAATAGTATTTCAATTCGTGGGGGGAAACCACTGGTTTAGAAATACTGTGCATGATCATTTGATCAATTCGTACCATGTTTACTTCTGAATTTTGCATCGTACGCTTCCGATCAAATCTTTTCGCTAAAGTGTCATACATGTATTTTAACATTATTTTGCATTGATATCTTTGCCCAACGTTGAGCGACGTTTCAAAATTCAGGCGCTACACCTGTGCCGTTTTTGCACAGTTTTACTTACACAGTCAGTAACACAGTAAAACAAGCCACAGATCGTCTTACAATTTTCCCAGAGTGCCACCTGCAGGCTGACTTTGGCACATGCCTCTTCTTTTTAATTCCGGTCTCATTAAAATGAAGCAGTGGCATTGGTGGCCATTTTTTTCGCAAACGTCTCTGCTTAACTTCAGGCCGGTGCCGCCTGCAAAGTTCAATTTTTTCCAAATTAATTTGCGTCGCGTCGGACATGGTTCGCTTCATTCGCGTTGTGTCAGACGCTCGTTCCGAAGTTCCAATCGCGGCGCTTGACATTAAATCACGTGTTGTTTGCGCCATCTATATTGATTGTGTATGTAAAGTCGATCCGCTCAGCTCACATCTATCACATTTGGTGTGAAAGCCATGAATGATCCCTTTCATATGGTTAGCCGTAGTTGATATCGTTTCAGAGTAAGCTTAGCTCAAACTCAGGTAACAACTAACCAACTTCAAAATGAAATGAAAGTTTTCCTTCCTGTGACAACACAGCTACAAAATGGTAAAACTCTGATGGCAGCATGCAAGTGCCCCACTGCTGCCATCCTGTTAGGATGCCAGGACGTGAATATGCCACTGCTGCCACAGGCCGCAAGTGCCGATATTAAGAGATGGACATAGAGTAAAGAGGGGAAACAAGAAGGAAAGTGTCCAACTTTGTGTGAATATTTCTCTGGAATCAGTTCAGGGGTGTCGAGGGATCCACTGTGTGTGTTATTTTCTGTGTATGTTTGTGTGTGAGAGAGCTTATCCAGAGATAGTATAGACAGACAGGACCAGCAGAAGCAATATTAAGGGTTGTGCAGGACCAGTGTTGAGAGACACAGCTGCATCCTGGGTCCCACCAGAACCCAAAATGGACACAGTGGCCATCTCTGAGTACAGGGGAATGAGATCAAACTGGCCTCCTTCAGTGTTCTCCTCTTCTACCTCTATCTGTGCCAGCTTTTCTTCCTCCTCGCTCTCCACCACCTGGCAAAAAGAAGACTTTGTGAGTAAGGCTGAAACTCAGGCGCAACATGACCTTCATAATTCAAATGATTCTGAAACACTGTGAAAAGAAAAAAAAAATATTTTAGACAAAAATATTGAGTGTTAAACTGGAATCTTTTCTTCTTTTCCTTATTGATACTCCTAGGCTAGAATCGTATTGTGCTGCAACGGATGGAACTAGTTCAGATGTGGGCATTTTTTTTTGCGTCAGTTGTCCTAAAATTCAACCGGCGGAACGGTATAGGAGCAGATAGATGGAGCGTTTGTGTGAGCTAAGATAAATGACATGTGAAAGTCATGCATTTCTTTTAGGCCAAACACAATTGATGCAAACGTTTTTATATTCCGAAGCGTTTGTCTGAATTTATTGGCAGCTTCTTTTCAAAAGTAACACCACGGTGTTGAAAATACGATTGCACTGTTTGTTTATTCCAAGGTATTATTTTATCTATTTGTTTGAAGAGTTTTTTTTTTTCTCAATCCAGGAGGTAAGCAATTCGAAGATTAGTTTAGACCTGCCATATTAAGACAAGCAGCAGTGCAAACCTTAGAGTAAAATATGACAAACAAAACAAAAAACTTTTTGCAGACAATGTGGTCAGAAGGCCAACATATTCCTTTGAGTCTATTTCTTTAGGAGAGAACATATTAAATTTAGAAACACCGTCTACACTGTAAATGCCTCATCTACGCACTCCGACCATTAAACTAGGAAGAGACATTAGTGTACTACACATTATGGGGCGTTTGCATGTGTATTATTAAATGGCTCTTATCGTAACAGAACGAATCTTGCAGTAAGCATCCAATTCCTCCAGACTGCTGACTGCTGCGGTTGTAGTAAAAAGCTGTTGTGGAGTATCGGGATGCTGGATCAGCTCATTTTCCAGGTAAAGCATAAATATTTGAATGAAGTACGGTCTTGTAACGCCCTGTCCTAAACACCTACAGTTGTGTCAAATGGGGCAGGGGGCCAACCTAACCACCCAAGCAGCTACATCGACAGCCTCTCGTGTCTTTTCGTTCTGTTATTTGACCTTTCTAAAGTCGACTTTTTAGTTTTTCAAGTCATCATTGTCCAAGTGAATGTTGGGCAAGTCTGCCAAGTTGACGTGGGCTAAGTTCACGTCTGCCAAGTTGACGTGGGCTAAGTTCACGTCTGCCAAGTTGACGTGGGCTAAGTTCACGTCTGCCAAGTCGAACTTGGCCAGGTTCAAGTCTTACAAGTCAAGGTCTGCCAAGTCGAGGTCTGCCAACTTCACATCTTCCTGGTTCAAGTCATCCTCTGTCAAGATTTTCTTTAATTGACCTCAGGGGCCGTGCCTTAAAGATGGAATTCTGGCACAAACTACACAGGTCACCATTGTTATGCCATGGACGTTTATCAAGTTTACGAATGGGAATTTTAGTTTTTCCCTTTCGAATAAACAAAAATTAGTCTGAACTGGCATCCGGATATTATTTTTTTTCCGGTCCTAAATTATTGTAAAATGACAAGTTATGTCAAGCTGAGAAAACAAAGTGAATATTTGTCTCGATTAAAGGCAAGTTTGCTGAACAACGACAGCACTATTAGATGGATGGATGGAACGAATGATCGATCGATCGTTTGATGGATCGATTGATGGATGGATTGATCGATAGATAGATGGATAGATAGAACATTATTAATCCTTGGGAGTTCCCTTCGGGAAATTAAAAAAAATAATAATTAGTTTACCTTAAAGAAGGTTTTCCGTCACAGATTTTTGATCACACAATTGAAAAATACCAATACACAAAAATGATGCAAAAGTTTCATCTTCAGACAAATGTGGTTTTTCAGCCAAGTTAAAAAAAAAAAACAGATGGACATTTTTCTCTTGTTGCTGAAGTGGATGCATCTGTATTAATGATAAGCATTATATATATATGTATATATATATAAATAAATAAAAATCAACTTTCAAATTGAAAATAAAGCTGCTCAAAGGGAGAGGAAATTCAGGTTGGTAAGAAGATTGTGTGGCAATATATTGAGAAGGTGAGTTGAAGAAAAGAGGAATTTAAAAACAGGATAAAGGAAACAGAGTAAAAAGCAGGAGAACGGGGGGGGTGACGGGGGGGGGAGTTTGAAGGTAGAAGAGAAAGAGGGGCAGACATATACCCATAAATAAATCCAATGCTAATGAAGCTTGACTGATGCACTGCATCCAATCTGCTCCTTTTCTAATCCATTTAGTGCTAGAAAGATGCAGATGGATACAGACTGAGAGAAGGAGGAAGGACAACCGAGAGAGGAAAAAAAAAGGAATGGAACCCCATCCCGTCTGGATACGCAGATTATCTCCGGCAGCGAGGCACAGTAAGCAGCACAAACCAACACGGTCAAGATACTTTCAATCTCTTTTTTTTTTTCTTTACCAGTATGCAGCCCTCAGTAGTTTAGAAAAAAAAAAAAAACTCATATTGGTTCTATTGAGTCATTCGTACTTGGTTTGAGTTCACACACGTAGCTAATATACAATTATCCTAGATAATGTAAGATAAATGACATGTAAAAGTCATGCATAAAGGCTAAAATGCTAAAAATGCTTTTATCATTTTTCTACGCCATCTATCGGGGAAACGTGGGTATTGCAGGGAAAAGGCAGAAGTGTAATAAAAATATAAATAAATTATATATTTAAAAAAAGTTTGGCGGGCCAGATTAAAAGGCTGAACGGGCCACATCCGGCCCCCGGGCCTTAGTTTGCCCATACCTGTACTAGAGCAAGAATTAAAAATAACGACCTCATTTACAATATTATTATCAAATACGTTTTTTTTTTTTTTTGCATTGGACAATAATGCTGCATTGTTTTCAGGCGCCTCCCTTACTTCATGTACCTCTGGTTTAAAGTGTGAGGTGCCGCACTGCTCGGGGCTCCAAAGTAGTTAAGTGGAGTTGCAAAACGCAGCATAAGTAAGGCAGGTTTTGTGACCATAAATGAGCTCCATTTAATCCCCCCTCTCTTTTTCTCTCTTCCCCCTTCCTCACCCCTTTGCTTCACTGTTTCACTTTTCTTTTTTTTTTTCTCTATACACACCCCTCAGCTGAGGCAGATGGTGAGTGTTGGCTCATTCTGTGAACTGTTGGGTTTCTATTTCTCTAAATATTCAGCCCCTTATGTATAATGCCTTGAGGTAACGTATGATGATATTTAGCACCATTCAAATAAAAGTGTTTTGATGAGAACTATAAAGTCTCTGCCGTTCAGGGCCGTTTCATAACAGCTGCAAATGCAACTTTTTTTTTTTTTGTTTTGTTTATTTGATTGAGGCAACATATTTTAATGAACATCAGCAGTAAACCGGTAAGGGTTATAAATTTACCAGATTGTTGCAATTTCAAAATCTATTCCCCGGGCAGGTAACATGTTTGTACACAACTTAAACACACGAATACATAAAAATGTATTCGTGAGTTTTACGGTGGCATCCCTTCAAATTCTGATTTATTACTCGCTCTTGCGCATTAATATGCATCTATATGCATAAGGTATTTATATCTTTGTGTCATATATTTACATCTGTTAGGTATAGTATTCACGAGTCGCAATTCAACTGCAATAATCAATATATTTTGTGCGGGCTTTTTTTCTTCTCCTTTAACATATAAATGTTAATGAAATATTGAAGTACTTTTGCACTCTTATTTATATTTGATGTCAATTGATGTCTGTTGGTACTTGGTTAAGGGACATTAATGTTTTACAGGTATGTATGACACTATATATATATATACATATGGATGGATGATAGATGGATGGATGGATGGACGATGGATAAATGGCTGGACAGGGAGATAGAAGTTGACCTCGCAGCAAACGTGAGTTGCTGGTCGACGTGCTTTCGTACTTTAATGGCGTACATGGCTGCGGGTGCTTTCTTGTTTTGGGTGAACTATCTTTAAAATAGTCCGGATTTTTAATTTGCACTTGTTTTTATACATAAAAACAGATTTTAAAAGCATACATATTCTGTGTAAATATATTGTTACTCTATGGTTAAAAAGACTCGAAACTGAAGCTGCAGGACTTTGGACTTGTCAGTCTTCGACTTGGAAATTGACTCGGCACTTGAGGGCAAAGATTTTCGACTTACCTGTGACAAAACAATGACTCTGGACAGATACAGTATATTCTCAGTCTTCGACTTGGAAATTGACTCGGGACTTGAGGGCAAAGATTTTAGACTTACTTGTGACAAAACAATGACTTGGTCCCCCCTCTAGTATGTATATACAGTATATTAAATCATATAAACTGAAACATACTTTATATATGTATTATATTTTGGGGTTACTGATTAAATGCATGTAGCTCTAAGTCACAATGTGATTCAATTCCTACGGTAAATAACAACAGAAAATCAGAAATGTATGTGAAATGGTAACTTAATTTGAAAAAAAAAAAAAAAACACTCAAAGATCCAAACAAACTGCTGTCACTGTCGCTGTTGTAGCTATGCTCTGCTTGCTCCTATTGACGTGGGAAATAAAACGAAGTGTACTCACAACATTGTTGTGGACAGGCAGGTGGTTGTTGTTGTTTAGCAGATTGTCCTGCTGCAGCAAGGGGGAGGGTCTGGGGGGAGGGGGTGTGATGTCAGGCAGCGAGCCAAGACTGCCCATCCAGCTGACGGAGTTACCTGCGTGGAGAAACAAACACTCGGGCTTAAGCATTCAGCACCGTCAGTGTGTGTGTGTGTGTGCGTTTATATGCTTGGCCGATACGCCGCGAAGCCAACTGAGTGTGACCCTCCATATCTGTTTGGCAGCTATACGGTTTGAACCGTTGGCACTAGATGAATCATGAGCTTTATGTGGAGTGCATTGATGCATCAATCCAGGCGTTAGCTCTGGCTCATAACAGGCTCAGTGTTTGTGTTGACTACTTGATGGACAGCTGCGAGCTGGAGTGGCAGCTGGATGGATTTGCCCTATAGCTCTTTTCTTTTTCTTTTTTCCCCTCCCCTCCCATGAATTAGCTGCACGTCCACACTCTTCAAAACCCTGACTATACCAGGAAATTCTCAGTCTGTTACTACGCACAGTAGTAGTAGTAGTAGTAGTAGTTATATGCAAATGATATTTCACTGCCGAAATAAAAAAAAAGGGAATAATTCCAAAGGTGGCGGCTTAGTGCTGGACATTTGAATTTATTTTTGTAAACAGTAGTGAGTGTCCTTCAGTGTAGCAAGGTCACATAGCATTAAAAACCGTCTCACATAGCCAGAAAAACTTTTTGGACTGTATAACAATGCGTACTGCATCTAAACACTTAACTGCACCCTGGAGCTGAGTCAAGGTAAATCTGTTCAAAAGTTCTGCAGTCATAAACCACCCAATGAATTGACCAAGCCTGTGTAATTGAGACACATCAAGGTGTGTGAAACTGACGCACATAATGTATATAAAACCAGTCAGTTTGTAATTTATAATAATAAAAATCCAACAATAATAACACCTTTTTTAAATTGAAACGAGTAAAAACTACCGGTCAGGTATGCAAAGATAAAGTAAGGAACAATAAAGTGAGGAACATGAATTTTACATTATTTACATTTGTAAAATTTCTATTAAAAAAAAAATAAAGCTTAACAAAGCATATGTGTTTGTGGCAAGACTTTAAGTAAGTCTCTCAATTGCCTCGCCTAGATTAAAACCTCTCTCAAAGGTCTCCTGGACCATTGACAGAGATCTACGTGAAGCTGCCCCTCCCTCCCGATCCGATGAACAACAGCGCTGTTGTTCGCCTGTGCTACGATTGTGGTGGTTTGTGCCGTAAAAAATTTGTGCTATTAAAGCTTTGGAGTAATTAAAAATTACATTTTCGACCTGTGACGTCACGCAGCCTCCCCTCCTCAGTTCCAGACTGGCCTCCACTGACTGTGCCGAGATTGTCCTGGTTTGTGTCGTCTAAATAAACGTTTGTATCACTTGGTTTCTAAAGTTATCACTGTTATATTCTTCACAAGCGTGACGTCAACAACCCCCCCACCCCCTCCACGTCTAAATCTCTTCAAACTAGTCTCTATCGTTTGTGCTGCGTTTGTGCCGCTTATTTTTTCATATGCGAACATGATAAACGAGCCAAAATGGAGGCTAGTTTGAAGAGATTTGGACGCGGATTTGTGACGTCACAGGTCAGAAAACTTATTTTTTAGTTACTCCAAAGCTTTAATAGCACAAACGAATTTTTTTTACGGCTAAACCAGCACAATCGTCGCAACATATGCTACATTCAATACTTTGCCAAAAGTTTAGACAACACTTGCTCGCCTAATCCTTTTTTTTCTATTTGTTTAATTTTTTTAAAATGTTTTTATATAACCTGAACATGTGGAACTTCCATATGGAGATTAGTGTGTCTTGCGTTGTGCATGGAAAGTTGCTGGAAAACATAAGGTCATTACCGCTGATACCATTAGAAAATATAGGCTCCTTTTAGGGCACACAGTTCCTTGGAAAGCCTGCGTAAAATACAAATTGACAAATGGGGTTGTATCAAGTACCTAAAACTGGTGAAGCGATGCCAAAGCAGTGCCATAAATCTACGGGCCAGAGTACTGGGACTCAGGCCAGGGTTTCGATAAAGAATGACCAGGATTTAAAAGAGTAATTTTATCAAACTGTCGTGCCCATCTGCCTACACCTGCTGCTGCGTTAGCACGGGTAATTAGCTCAGCGTTCTCACCTTTGTCCTGTGCTTCCCTGTTCATTAAACTCCCTCGTCTCACCAGGTGCCCTGAGTATATTACATGCCTCCCTCTCACTTGGTCCTTGTCTGTCTTCATTATTTGTCTTCTGAGGGGTGTACTGTGAAGCAAGTTCAGTGGCGTAGTGAGGTATGCTGAGTCTAAAGCCAGGCTTTCCTGTACTGGGTAAGATCGAATCCCGGTTAGGGCGGTTGGTACCTTCCGGTGGACTCACCACCCGCAGGAAAGTTCACGAGGGGTTGGTACGATGCAGTGTGATTACGGATACGGATCCGGTAACGGATAAGCGGACGAAGATGAATGGATGGATATCACTATGTTAACTTATGCTCTTAACGTAGCTCATAACCTGGAAGGGACCAGGTTTTGTTCAGGTTTTCAGCTCAAATCTGCTGTGAAAGTTCAGTCTGTAGCTGGCATTTCCTGATGAAATTTTCTATGAGAAATATTGAAATAATGAATTAATTAGGCCTATCTATTGTCATTGGACAGAGAGAGTAGATTTAGGAAGAAAAAAGAAAAGAAAAACACCGAACGTTTAAACACACTCTTATTCTATAATTGAGATCAGTATTACATATGAAACAATATACATCTATTTTTTTGTTGCTCTTGTTAACTGTTCCTAACGAATAAGGGTTAATACGTAAAAGTTGCTGAGATTTCAAAAAATAAAACACTAAGGGCTTAATATATTATTAATCAGTGTTACGCATTTACATGGTCAGCAATTTTCCTTCCATCTTCGTTGATGGCAGTAGTGTTGTTTTTGGCAGAGATGGTCTCTTTATGTTGTTACTCTTTACCACCACAGTTATATGCACAGTAGAGTTGTATTTTGCGAGATCGGATAAAAAAAAAAAAAGCTGCCGATCAATACAAAAGTGTAGTTGAAATCACAAAAGGTGGACTCACGGAGGCAAAGGTTGTGCGTAAACATCCGCTGCAGTTTCAGACATTCCTGCCACTGATTTCCACTGCCTTCACAGTTGCACCAGAGTGAAACTTCAGCAGAGCTGTTACTGATGTAGTTTGGCGTCATGATGGTGCCTGGAAGTTAAATAAGTGCATATTTAGTTCTGAACACACAGCCCAAAAACAACTACATAAAACATACATGCAGAAACCTTGCAAGGACGAAAAATTGTAAGCAAGTTATCAAGTCAAATCTTGGATGGTATATTCATCTTTAAGATATTGTGAGGTATATAATGAATATACATGTGGAAGTCACATGTCTAACAACATGTATAAGTACGGAGATCTGTAGGTTATATTGGGGGGTTTTTTTTGTTTGTTTTTTAAGCTTAGCCTTATGGATAAGTCCCGTTTTTTTGCAACCAGTCATGTGTCTTAAATTTGGTCTGATTCATTTTCACAGCTGTTCTGTGTGATCACATTTTCAGACACCTTTGCTGTAACTATTATTTTGATCTTCTTTTTCACCTTTCACTTCACCAGCTGTTGCACTGTGACATTTTTTTTCACAATTGGATAAATATGTATCCAACACTTATTTTTTGTGTCACACAAATTTTTAGTTTTGATCGCAACTCTTTTTTTTTTAAATATTTTACATTTGACAGAATTTTTTCTTACTGTGTAGGGCATATGTGTCAAAACTCAAGGCCTGGGGGCCAAATGCAATGCAGCAAAATTTCTTATTAGTCTGTCATATAGTAGTTACATCTATACCAGCGGTCCCTGACCTTTTTTGTACCTAGGACTGGTCAACCAGTACCACCCATTACTACGGACTGGTAGCAAAGTGCTGAACTTTTAGACTCTATTCTGTTAGTATTTAAAAAATATTGTTAGATTATCTTTAAATAAAGAAAGTAAATGGATATGACAGGATTTTTCTTGAATGAAGTAAATTAGTAAAAATTAAGTAAATTTTTTCCTGTGTCCCACTGTGGCCCAGTACCAAATGAGTTTTGGACTAGTACTGGTCCGCGTACCGAGGGTTGGTGACCCCTGATCTATACAGTCTTGCACTTACAACCAGCCCTTCAAGGGGGACTGAATTGCTGATTTGGCCCCCGGTGAAAATGAGTTTGACACCCCTGCTGTAGGGGCTAAAGAGAGACCTTTATCTTTTGGGGTCATTAACCTAGCCTGGGGTAAAAAGGCTTAAAATGTTTTACTTTTCCCTCAAACTGTCGGTAATTTCCACTTTCTTTTTCAACGAAATATCTGATCCTAAGTGAAGCAAACTTACGTCTGAGTTCCATCTCCTTAACAGCTGTTTTATTTAATTGAATGATACGTTCTTTCTCTCAATCCACAACCACAACCACATTGCATTCCGTACCAATGAGTCCAGCATATGCTCGGAGGCAGAGACCTGCTGAGTCCTTCAAACAGCCACTGGCTGTGGCAGGAGATGGCTGGCAGTTATTAAGGAAGTCAGCCAGTCTGGATCTTGCAACGACACAAATAAAAACACCACATCAGACACAAGCAGTAATGTCTGTTCATGTGAGTGTGTGTGTGTATGTGCGCCTCATTTTGTTTGTATTTATTTCAGGTCATGTTACTCTTGTTTCTATGCTTTTTGGAATATGTTTCTATCAGAGGTGGAGAAAGTACTAAAAATATATTATGAAGAAAAAGTATCTTTACTTCATTTAAATTGTACTCAAGCTAAAAGCGGGCACACTTTTTGACTCGCGGGCCACAATTGTTCTAAAATTGAATGGGGGCGGGCGGGTCAGGAGCAGATAGATGGAGCGTCCGTGTGAACAGAGATAAATTACATTATCATGTATCATTTTCTACACCATCTATTGGTGAAAAGTGGGCATTGCAGGGAATAGGCAGAAGTATAGCGATAATATAAATAACTTCTATAATTTGGAAAAGTTTGGCGGGCCGGATTTAAAAAGCTAAACGGGCCGCATCTGGGCCCCGAGCCTTAGTTTGCCCTTTCCTGGGCTAGAGCCTGTCTCTTAGTCAATGTTCTCTGGATACATTAAAATAGTTTTTGAGTTAACGCAGATTGTTTTCCCCACATTTCATTTTTTACTTGGTAACATTTCTTGTCCCATGAGTCAAAATGTACTTAAGTAAAAGTAAAATTACCTATTCCCAAAACTACTTAAACAATCACAAATTACTCACGAAAACTACTCAGTTACAGTAACTTGAGTAAACGTAATTCATTACTTTCCACCTCTGTCTTCTATACAGTAGAACCAATGGCATTATGGTTTTAGTTTCCATTTAGTCTTTGTCTAATTTCTTTGGTCTTTGACGGCTACACACGTTTTATTGGTGATTGCGCTATACAGTTTTCAGGTTTGTTTAATCAAATGATATTCAAATATTTTCGTGTGTCGTGTGCCTTACTTTTAAGAGTACCTTGAAAATCAATCAAAGGCGTTGGATCCAGCTGTTTTATTACCTGCAAAGGTCGTCCCGTCGACAGAAACTCTGCTGGTGGAGACAGTTGGGTTGTACCTCCTCCGTCTCCTGGTAGGAGCACGAAGGTACAATGGTTTTCCTCCTCCGCTCACCGCACAGGGTATCGGTGCAGGGGCAGAAGAGAACGGTGAGGCTGTACTCCTCAGGCACCCTCTCCAGGAATCGCCGCAGGGCCCGGTGGCACTTGTGCTGGTTGCATCGGTTGGACCCTGGAACACGCTTGGTGCACGCCAAGACGTACTCTGAGCGCAAGGAGCCACACTTCTCATACAGACCACAGTCCTGTGCTGCCTTTAAACACTGGTTCTCGCCATCCGATTGCATGAAAGACGAAGCTGGGGAAGAGTGAACAGTCAATTTGGCTGAAAATTAACAACGGCAATGTCTGCCTAATGTGCTCAAAAATTACGTGGTAAAGCCGCTAATGCGAGAGCTCCTTCTGGAATGGAGGATAAGACTCCAATAATTTACATTGATGGACGGAGATGGAGAGGCAGAAAATAGAAATCGTGGCTTCACACTTGGTTTACAAAAGTAAATTCGTATTATCCATCCATCCATCCGTCCGTCCATCATCATCCACTTATCCGGGGCCAGTTCGCGGGGGTCTTCTCTGACACTTCCTCCAGCTCTTCTGGGGGCATCCTGAGGCGTTCCCAGGACGGCCGAGCGACATAATCATTCCAGCGTTTCCTGGGTCTTTCTTTAAATCTCCTCCCAACCTTAACGCAACCTTTACGTGATGGAAGGGTTTGAGTATCCGAATGAACCCAGTAGCTATGTTGTCGGGGGCTTAATGCCCCTGGTAGGGTCTCCCAAGGCAAACGTGTCAGAGATCAAAACCCCCTGAATGAAAAACACCAATAGACAAGGAAATTCACGTTTCCCGGATTGGCGTTACCGGGGCTCCAACCCTGGAGCCAGGCCCCGGGGTTGACCAAGTCTTTGCCCACGTGACCCGGCCGGAATCAGCCCGAAGAAGTGACGTCGGTAATTTGGAATAGACCGGAAATTACCGGTATTTATGAGTAGAGATGCTATCGTTTATATATTATGATATCACGTTAAAGTGATGCATCATTTTCTGTGTTTATTTTTGTGTGTGCGCTTGCTTTTACCTGCCACTAAAGAGGCCATTTGAGTATCCATCAGAGTGTCTTCATAGGGAGATATTTCCAACTCATCATCCCCTAGAGACAAAGACAGAAAAAAAACCCTGCAGAATTTATGATTATAGTATCACAAAAATAGTATTTTGTGGAAAAATAAAGCAATAGCTTTTATTTAGATCACAAAATGAACACTTGTAAAATTCAGAGCCCGTGTGGTTAAACACTGCACTGAAATAATGATCCTGGTCATGTTGGAGAAGAATGTCGCACCATGTGAGTGAGGTTGGATGTTGTGTTTCTTGCGGCACGTGCTAGTCATTTGGGGCGCCGGAGAAACATCAAACCATGTGTGTTCCAGTAACGTAGTGTTTGTCTTTTGAATGTGAGGTTTTCAAATTAATACTTCCTGTGCGCTACTGCCGTACAGCAAGGGTGCGGTCTGTATTTGGTTTGTATGGGTTTAGCTTTGACAAGCTGTTCTGTTTTACTAAAAAAAAAAAATCTTTTTAGTAGACTTGAGCCATATATTTCTAATGGAATGAAATATATTATATCTGCCATAACATAGTAATTGTGCTGCTAGTTGGATACTAATTCTCTAACTCAAAACATTGTTATATAATATGTTGTTGTATTTTCCAGTTACTTATTCTATACTATGTAAGGTCAGTTTTATGAGCTAGGATGTTATTTGGACAAAAGAGAAGGAAAATTGAAACGAAGCAAGAGGGTCAATTTTGTCGTTCACCATATGGATAAAACTCTGGATCGTTAACCAGAAGTCCAACCGCATGGATTTGTTAGTGGCATTCACCGTGCTACATCTCGACGTCGATGACATTTACTTTTACCTCGTTACTATTGGATGATTCCGCTTTTAATCGCCCTGCAACAGCCAACAGTGGAGCTCTGTGTGTACTAAAGCATGGAGGGTGTGATTAAAACACCAAGTTTGCAAAGAAAATACACTCACTGCCTCCATTAAGCACCAGAGCAATGTCCGGAAAGCAAGGTTCTTCAACAAATGAGCTGCTAGTGCTTGCATGAATAACTTTGTCGAAAACAGACTGTAGAGTACAGACTGGGAGTAAGTAAGAGGCCATAGGGAGTAGGAAAATGTGGTTATGTTGTCTTCTTACATTGCTGTTTTTGACTAAAACTACAGTCCTGATAACATTATCAACCTTGGTAGTGTGAAGCCATCCATAGATCCACTTTTTTCTAAACCCATTGTTATGTTAGAGATCTTTTTGTAGGACCCAGGTGTAGATACTGGGCTGAAACTGGCTGGGCACTAAACAGGAAACTCGAGTCGTCTCAGGCGACTTGAGGCTGAAAAACAATCAGTCTTCTCGACCTGGCATGTGTGGACAACTGAACAATAACATAAATAATAAATCTTCAAACAATAGATATGTACAGCAGCAGCAGCTAGCATTAACCCAGGCTCTGAAAAGTTCCTTTTGTGTTCTGTTCCTGTAGAAGATTTGCACTCATTCTAAAGTACAAACTCAATCAAGAGTGAAAAGGCATATGGCTTGTTTGTTAATTTAAGTCCATTTCATGCTTTACATTTATGGCAATTGCACTCTAGAGCAGCTTAGCTGCATTAAAAACTGAAGAGTGTATAATTATAATAATGTTCCGCTGACTGATAGGCCACAGGGGAGACGGGCTCAGCTAGCTGCTGGTAGCTAACTCACTAATGCACCCAGCACAACAGCATAATTAATATGAGAGACCAGAGTGCATAATAATGTGAGATGTGATTTTGCATTATTATTTACAGGGTTCGTACATGTTTTTTTTTAAACAAATTTCAGTGTGACCACTGAAAATTATGCAGGCGCAGAAAGCAAAAAAAAAAAATCATCATCATCCCGACAACTTGTTGCAATGGGAGTTCATAACTTTTCATGCAAACAAAACCATTACTTCTAGAACCCTTGTTGTTGTTATGGGTTGGACACTTTGGATCAGTCTTGTCCACTGTCCAACGTCTCCTTCCATCTCATAAGCGTCTCACTTACCCGGCAGGAGTCGAACCCTCCAGTATATGCGCAGGCAAATCTCCTCCCTGCGAAATCCGCGTTGGCATTTGCAGGACAACAGAGCAGGATGTTTGGACAGAAGAACATCCTGTCTCTCCAGGCACTCAGCTGCCGCCTGTTCCCCTAGTGGTGAAATCGCTGCGTCGGCGGCACACAGTTCCAAGCCTCGGTACAGTGCCTCACACTGAGGTTCAGTTGAGCACACATGATAGGCTTCAACACAGTCCAAAGGTGAGGACGGCAAAGAGATAAGAGGTCCCTGTAATAAGGTTGCGTCTAAGAAACAAATAAAGAAAAGAGAGAGGAGACGTTGGAGAGTGGAAGTCTCTATCAGACAATAGTGGCACGAATTGTCACGCATTTGTATAGATTTTTCAACCGATTCACAGTGCATTGTTACAAGTATTTAAAGGGAAATTGTTTACTGTATATTCTGGATTATAAATTGCTCCAGAGTCAGCATGAGCCAGCTAGAGAGCCCTCTAGTGGCTGTCGGGGTGAAAATAACAAACATGTCACATTATATATTTTAATATATATATCTTTATATATATATAAAGATGAAAAAGAGTGCGACTTACAGTTCGGAAAATATGGTATTTGAGTGATGATAAATCATGACGTGAGATGTTTTGGGTTTTTTCGTTACAGTCTAGCACCGCTAATAAGACAAGAAGCTCGATTTTGGTTGGTTCTGAGATATTCAAAAAACCCAAGCTGTTCAGTTTCTTTTGAACCATGGGTGTTTCCAGATCATTTCCAAACTATTTTGATTTCATGTGACAGTCTGGATAGACTTAATTGAATGCTGCTGAATGTAATAAAGTTTTAGAGTTTGTCATGCTGCAGGCCCTCAAAAGAAAAATATCATTATAGCAATAGATTAAATGCAGACCTGACTGGCATGCTTTTCTTCTGCCCTTATTTAAACCAAACCAAAAATAAAACAGAGCCCCCTAATGTTTTTACGTTATTTAATTAACCTGAACCTGTTCTGGTGATGGTTCCCTGAGGATTGGGCATCTTTTTCGTGCGCTAGAGTTGCTAGGTGCTAATTTGACATCAAAGTTATGCTGGTGAATGACTCTGACGTGGATATTATAGGTGTCGTGTAACTGCAAAATTCAAACCTAAAAAATCGAATTTATGTTCTTGATTCGGGGCAGAAATTGTCTGTAATTTAGTCAAACACACTAGTATGGTGTTTGGTATGGTGGGTATACTGTAGTACTAGATACTGCATCTAGTACTTACTGACATAATTGTATATATCCCAACTGGCTTGACACCCCCCCCGATTCCCCACCTTTTTAAAAAAAATGCAACTAACCCTTTCTTATAGGAAGGATAGGAAGGAAGCATGTTTAGTCAGGCTCAAATGACAAGAATACACATAAAATACATATAAATATATATAGTCTGAATGTATTTCTCAATGCAAAGGTCCGATTTTGATTTTAAGTTTCACAACGAAAATTGTTATTTACATGTATTTATTGTGTGGAAAAATCCCACTTAAAGAAAAACGTTCCACAGTGTGACAGCTCACGCACCCCTGGGGGTTAACAACATTAGAAATATCATTACATTAAAAGATGTTGAATATATACAGTATATATAGAAAGCCTTCTCCTCACTTTATTTGTTTTGTTTTTTTATTTTCTTTATTTTATTTCTGCCCTCATCCTGATCTTTTTTTTACATTACCGTATATCTTTTTATTCTTAAAGCAGACTTGCCTTATGTATTTAAGAGTGTAGGTTTTAAATTAATAGTCTATTGTTGTCTCTGCCGAGAAGCTCTGCTCATATGTTCAGGCTCGCTCCGTGCGAGGGTTATGTTTATTTATAATGAATTTAGGCGGACAAGGCTGCCGAGCACTGCGCAACGATTAGTTGATTTTCAGCAGAAATGTCCCGTCTTTAGTCGACTATGAACTTTCTTTGGTTGTTTACAACCCTAATGTGGCTGCTAACATATTACAGGGGTAAGATGGAAGAGTCGGGATCTGGAAAAGTGCTAGAAATTCGAGAAACGCACCATTTTCAGATCAGGTGGGCAGATCTAGACAACAGCCAGAGTTAAACGAAAAAGTGGGATTAAATCAGGCATGGTCAGCCCGTGGCTCGGGAACCGCAGTCATGCTGCTCTGACGTTCATGAATTTTGTGTGTTTTTCTTATGGTAGGCGAATCTCACGTGCAAAGCCGTTGATGCAAACGACTTGGCGGGAATAACCATTGAGTAGTGTAGGCCATTGTTTCTCAAAGACTGGGTCGTGACCCTCAGGTGGGTCACAAGAGATTTTTTCTGGGTCCATCTCGCTGTCATGTTTCCCAGGAGTTTACGAATAATGTCTATTGACTTGGGTCGCGAAGGTTTGTGACCAGAAAAATTGTATTGTAATTGTATTTTAACGTCCGATGTGTGGCTGCCTCAGTTTCTAAGTAAAAACAGCTACAACTGAATAATTGTAAGAGTAGAAATGCTGCTTTAGGATAACGCACGTTTAAACCTGAACTAATACAGTAGAAACTATAGATTAACTTACATGTTGGGAACAAACAAGTTAGAGGAGTGGCAGGAGAGATAAAGAGCACCTTTGCCCAAGCAAGTTATACAGAGTAGATTAGGACCTACTTGAAACACAACATCTCACTCTCTCTTTTTCTCTCTCTCTCTCTCTCCCCCGATCTCAAACCTACACACGTATGCAATCGCACTTTCAGAAACCTCTCAGCAATCTCTGCCTTATCAGTACAGTTTGTGAATTGAACACTTAACTAACACAAGACAGTGTTGGGTAAATGCACATCTTTTGTGCAGTGCTACAGTAATCCCATCTAGACAAAGTCATTTCACTTTGCTGGAATAGTTTAAATTAAGACTTAAACATAGGCCATTCTTACAATATATTAAATAGTCAGTGGCAACGAGCAACGTTTGAAAATAAACAATGATCTAATGCAGTACTTCTCAAATAGTGGGGCGGGCCCCCCTGGAGGGGCGCGACGGGCTTCCATTGTAATATGGCACGCGTGTACCACTGCTGTAATGCTTGATTGATAACAAGCCTCCAGTCACTAGGTGGCAGCAACTCATACAGTGGTTTGTGCAGTTAAAAATATACATGTGTTCTCAATAGTATTTCAATTCGTAGGTATGTGGGTCGGGGGGATTGGGGAGAGCACGAAAAAACATTTCTGTCCCCGGGGAAGGGGGTTGGGGGTAAATGACAGAAATTAAATTAAGAACCACTGCTCTAATGTGATTCGAGTTGTCTTTCTTCTGGACAGGATTACGAATGACAGGTTTATAAACAAGAAGTGGAAGGATGAACCCAAATGCAGGACAGATGTGGTTTCAGACTCAAATGTGAATATATATACATATATATATATATATATATATATATATATTATATATATGTATGTATATATATATATATATGTATATATATATATGTGTCTGTATATGTCTGTATATATATATATGTCTGTATATATAAATATATATATATATATATATATACATACACAGACACACATGGATAAACATTGGACACTGAACGCACCACCATGGAGGTGAGTGACAAGGAGGTTATATATAGAGACTCCAGATGGGAAACAAACAAGACACAGGTGGAACAAATTATGGTAAGAGCGGGTAATCACGGGAGAGAGAAACACAGAAGGGCAGGTGCAGGATGATAAGCTGCAGGTGAAGCTGATAGGGCTGATTTCAACTGGCAGGGGGGGGTTAAGTGGAGCAGACGGTGACAGGATAGTGTTTTGTCTGTCAATTCCCTCATGTACAGCGTGTCAAACTGAAGGCCCGCGGGACAAATGTGTCCCGCCAAGTCATTTAGTGTGGCCCACAGGAGCAATGTCTATAACTAAGTACCGTAATTTCCGGACTATTGAGCGCACCTGAATATAAGTCGCACCCACTAAATTTAGAAAAAAAATTATTGTACATATATGAGCAGCGCTTCTCCATAAGCCGTAGGTGTCCACGTTGTAACATGGGATATTTACACAGAAAGATTTTTTTTTTCGCTTTTAAATAAATTATTTCTTTTTTACGAACAGTGGCTGTAACACGGCTGGTTACACGTTAGCTCTTTCCTGCTTCGGCGCCCCCGACCGTAGTTGAAATGCATAGGCGAGACTTAGTGATCTGCTCCAGGGCCGATGCTAACATTAGCTCTGGGGCTAACTCCCTTCATCTTTTCTTCCACATGGTTTAAAATATTTCTATAAAAAAACCTTTATGATATGTTTATGAGATGTTTGCCCTAATTGTGCAATGATCTGAAAACTTAAAAACTTCTGGTCTTACATATGGTATGGCATATGGCAATATGTCCTCTAGGGGGTGGTTTGATCCAAAACACAGAACAGATATAGGTATATATCAGATATCCAATTCTTTCAATTGATAAAAAGTCAAGCAGGTTTGTTTTTTTTTTGTGCAAAATCTGAATCTTTTCCCACCAACTGCACTCACTAAAAGCTTACTCAATAGATCAGATTAACAAAACAAAAATATCTGCAGTTTAGATTCTCTTTGTATTGTATAGGGTTGCTTGATTATGGGTAAAAAATAATAACCAATAACCAATATTTATATCACTAATTTAATTAGTGATTGATTCTGGAAACGCATTGTAATCACGGAACATAATGGAGAAGCAATCAGAATTGTTGCCCGTGAGTAACATGTCTTCGTCTGTTACAATAAATCAGTCGGTTCTTAATTATTTTCTGTCATGCCCCCCCTTGTGGACAGAAATGTTTTCACGCCCAGGTGCCCCCTGACCCACACCCATGCGAATTGAGACCCTGATAACATGTATATTTCTATCTGTACAAACCACTGTATGAGTTGCTGCCACCTAGTGACTGGAGGCTTGTTATTATTCAAGCGTTACAGCAGTAGTTACTGTATGTCCAGCGCGCCATATTCCATTTGAAGCCCCTCACGGCACCTCACCACCAAGTCCAGCGCCTTGTTGTTTTTTTTTTTTGTTTTTTTTTTCACTGTTCTCTCCAGCGTTACGTTCACTGTGATGTTAAAACACTCTCCTTTCTTCCCTGTTTTCTTTTCATTCACATGCACTTTGTGTTAACACAGACTGCACCACATCTGTGCACAAACCACACAAAGGAAGAAAAAAAAAAAAAACCTGGCAAGTTCCTCCTCAGGACACAATCCACAAACAGTGAGGGAAGCACTCACAAAGAAATAACTTCAAATGGGTCACGGCAGCAGACCTTCAGTTTGATACAAATATACTGACAAATACAGTTTATGGTATAAACGCAGGCTATTTTTATGATAAAATGTTGAAAAGTCAATTTGATTA